GTCAGAAACTAGATCATTTTTCAAGTTCTTGTTTATGACTCGAAGCTTCTGATACCTTTCTAGAATTTCTGACAGAGTCTCCTCTAATTGAGATCTAGAAAAGTTAGAAAATACCTCGTCTGCCTCTGAGTCTGATTCTGATCCAGATGATCCAGTATCTTCTGATATGTTGGCCATCAGGGAAATGTTAGCTCTTTCATCTTCTGATTCAGTGTCTGCTTCTGAAGAGTCTGAGTCATCCCATGTTGTCATGAGACTTTTCTTCTTCTCCTTAACGAACTTCTTTTTAGGTTTCTCCTTCTGAAGCCTTGGACAATCGCTTTTGTAGTGCCATTGTTCATTGCACTCGTAGCAGAAAATGCCTCTGTTTCTTAACTTTTTATATTCAGAAGATGGTTCAGATTTTCTGTATCCAGATGATGATTCAGACTGATTCCATGTTCTTCTAGAATTTCCCTTTCCTGTACTTCCGCAACTGATTTACTCTTCTAGAGAGAAGATATAATTCGTCTTCTTCTAATGAAGAACCACCAGAGTTTTCTTCTATTGCCTGTAAAACTTTAGAATCATATTTTTTGTTAGATTTAAGGGCTAGAGGCTTACCTTGCTTCTGGGGATCATCATCTTCTAACTCTATCTCATGACTTCTGAGAGAGCTGATAAGTTCTTCTAAAGATATTTTGTTAAGATCTTTTCCCAGTTTGAGAGCAGTGACCATGGGTCTCCATTTCTTTGGTAGACTTCTGATGATCTTCTTTACATGATCAGCATTTGAGTATCCTTTGTCCAAAACTTTCAGCCTAACAATCAGAATTTGAAATCTTGAGAACATTGCTTCAATGGTTTCATCTTCTTCCATTTTGAAGGCTTCATACTTCTGAATGAGCACAAGGACTTTGGTTTCTTTTACTTGTGTGTTGCCTTCATGCGTCATTCTCAGAGAATCAAACATGTGCTTTGTTGTCTCTCTGTTTGTGATCTTCTCATAATCTGAATATGAGATGACACTCAAGAGAATAGTTTTGGCATTGTAATGATTTCTGAAGTCTCGCTTTTGATTATCTAACATTCTTTTTTTGTCAATCTTTTGCCCACTTTCATAAACCGGGTGTATGTATCCATCAATCACCATATCCTAAAGATCAGCATCATGAGCTAGAAAGAAGCTTTTAATTCTGTCTTTCCAGTAATCAAAGTTCTCTCCATTAAAGATTGGAGGTTTGCCGCTGATTCTGTCTTTCTCATCATGGTAGTCATTGCTGATGTTCTGACTTGGTGCCACCATAGTGTTTTTCTTAGCTTGGATCTTTTACTGACACGGTTAAGTGCTTGAACTCAGAATCAGGCGCTCTGATGCCAATTGAAGAATGGAAAAACACAAGAAGGGGAGGTTGAATTGGAATCTTAAAATTCAATGAAAAGAACACGTTGACTTTTATCCTGGTTCGTTTGAACTCAAACTACTCCAGTCCACCCGTTAAGGTGATTTCGCCTCTCTCTAACGAGGTCTTAATCCACTAATCAATCTTGATTACAAGTCTACTTTGACAACTATCAAAGTCTTCTTAAGTATAACCACAACCCAGTTTTTCTCAAGGAAATGCAATAAACAATATAAGAATAAAATAGTGTACAATATTGTTTCTTTCAAAACAGTATCACAAGATAGTGATGTTTTACACAGTTGAAAATATTGAATGTATGAAGATTAGAGATGTTTGCAGCATTGTTGAGTATTATGAAAATCGTAAATGATTTATCCTCAAGGCTTGTTTAAATAGGCGCAACATGGATGATCATTTGGAAACTTGATTAATGACAGTTAAGGTGCTTTCCAAAAATAAAGATCCTTGTTCCCTTCCAGTAGTTACTCTTGAAACAGAAATATTTGATTTGTAACGCTTCAGAACATTGAAGTATTCGTTGCTGCTTGCTTCATAACTTTTGAAAGTCAGAGTCATAAGATCTTGTTTGTAGTGTTGGACTTACTTTCCCAGAGTTGTGTAATCAAAGTTTAAAACATCTTTTTAGTGCAACTTCTGATCTTCTTTCATCAGAGCTTTTTGAGAGTTGTCTACATTCACAGCAGAAACAACCTTGTAGCTTATCTTCTGATCTTCTTCCATCAGAACTTCTCTACAAAACATAATATAATTTTAGAGTGCATAATTATTCTTTGTGTTTGTTATTATCAAAACTCTTACAATGGTTGTAGAATCAAATTATATTCTAACACAACTGACACAACGGAGACGTTCATCCATAAATCTTTAACGAGGTTAGTGTATATGGGGCCATGTAAAATGTTAAAGTAACCATTCAACTTTTTTTGTCAACAACTTTCCTTAACTTTTGTTTTAAACGTTCAAAATTATTGAAATCAATATACTTTTCATTGATAACGAACCATAGATTTGCATCTATTTTTTTATAAGGACTTTGAAACAAGGAAACCAAGAGTTGATAATGAGACATTGAAAATAGAAAAATACTTTGAAACAGCGAGTTGGTAATTAGACGTTTAAATAACTCAAAAGCCTCCTTGATAATCCAAATGAGGCGTTTAAATAGTTTAGAGAACGTTGAATATAGTTGATCATTGCTATTCTAGATAAGTGATATGATTCTAACGCGTGTGCATCACGTCAGTGTTCTAACCTCTGTTTTAATTGTATTGTTTATTTGTAATATAAATGTTTTAACCCGTCGGTTTTCCATAAAAATCGAGGGACCGTTTAATGTTAAAGTTTGAATCTCTATTTTAATTGTAGTTTTTAGTTGTAAGTTAAATGTTCTAACCCGTCGGTTTTCCTAAAAATCGAGGTAACATTTAACATTAAAATTGAGATATTTCTCAAATCCGTAATCAAATCCTTGTCGTCCATTTCATGACTATTAACGCTCAAGACAATACCATTAATGATCTGCGTGAAACTTAGATAACTTCTATTATAAAAGCATTTTGAATATAAAAGCTTAGATGATTATCCTTCACTTTAAGATTTACAAGAGTGTTTGTCATGAAGAATTCTCTATTTGGGTTTAAGGTTTGTGTTCTTAAATATTTATTTTAACATAAAATTATTTATGTATCTAACCCTTTTTTTTTGTTCATTTCAGAAACAAATGCAAGAAAAAGCAATTGAAAATATTCTATTTTCTAGAAGATCCATAACTAAATATTTGGGTGTAAGGTTTGCAAAGGTGTTTGCCATGAATAATTCTGTATGATGACTTGCAAGAGTAAAAAATTATTTAGGTGTAAGGTTTGTGTTCTTAAGAATTTATTTGAGCAGAAAATTATCTAACCATTTTTTGTCTAATCATTTTTTTGTTCATATCAGAAACAAATGCAAGCAAAAGTCATAGAGAATACCCTTTTTTTTTGTTGGTAGAAAAGAGTTTCCCATACATTTGATATTGTCAAGAATATCAAGGAATTGAATATCCAACATATGATCTTCATGGACAATTAATTTTTTTATGTGTAAAAAATGTAATATTCTGGATAAACACTAGTTTGTAAACAAATTATTTTATTAATGTTCTGTGTAAACAATGTAATGAGTTTTATTAATAAAAAACAGATAACCCCTCAGTTTTCTTACTAAACTCAGATAAAAAAGACGCTAGTTTTTGTAAATAATAAAAGTGTAGAAGCTAGGGTTCAAACCCATGCGTTAATAAAGTGTTTTAAACACCGAAATGATAAATCTTTACTTTTTATGACGACCTTATTTACTTCACTTTTAATGTCGAAGTAAAACGCATTTTGCATTCGATGTTAGATATTTTATTTATTGTAGTGAGAAATAGTTTTGAACTTTAAATTTATTATAAGTTGCTGCATATAAATGTTAAAATCTTTGGATTACACCTTGAAGACAAAGTGTTAGTGCAAGAATTAAGGGATATTATGGATCAAATATGAATAACATCAAGTTTGACAATTAGCTATAGAAGGATTGAAGATGAAGTGGACTTGATTGATATAAAATTTATTCTTAATTAGATCTTTTCAAACTGATCATCCACCACTATAATTTTTGTATCAATTGAACTTGACTCTAAATTATACCTCGAGGATAATCTATTTTTTCAAGATTGGTGGAATGTAATGATTTAAATATGTTATTATTAGGCCCAAGTTCTATGAGCTTATGAATAACGATACACTAGATATTTAGGTGATGAATTATTACTTTTTAAAAAGATTTAGATAGATTCTAAGTAATTGATTTATGTCAATATTATAAATATGTGATTATGAATGTAATTATCATCAAAATAAAAAAATTATTTTTAAAGTTAGTTTAGCATCTTTGTAGTTTTTAAGTTACTTTACCATCTCTGTTGTTTAATTTCTTTATTTTTCTTTCCATCAAAAGCATCTTCATAACAAGTACCCCTGTAGTTAGGTCTTAGAAATAAATCATAAACAGTTTCTTTCAATCTGGTATAGCTTTTCATTTCACCAAGAGCCAATGTTCTCGTTAATTAATTGTTTTAGGCTGAATTAGTGAGATAAAAGCAAACATAAATTTTCAACTTTTGACTTTATATTTATTTCTTTTGTGATGTTCTTTAAAATGTTAATTTTGTGTCCAAAAAATAATGACTCATTGCTTCCATTTAAAATACCAAACAACATATCCTATTTGAAATCCAAATTTTAATATCAAGACAAAAAAAAACTATAAAAATTTTAAAAGTTAAAATTGATTGACGGTACAAAAATATATATATTTTATTCTCAAATTTTAAACACATTGATCATATTTATTTTTGAATTCTCGTGGTCTGAAATAAATGTTAATTACCTTATCCAAATGTTACAACAATCAACCATTTTTGACACATAAAACAATTATTATCCTTTTTTTTAGGCCTTTTATTTTTATTATTATTATTATTATTTATTATTATTATTTTCTTCAATCGCTGGCAACAAAACATAGAACACATTACATCCTTAACTTCAACAAACTGAAATTGTTCATATGAAGCTATCATGTTACACTCCACATGTTATTAACATACCTCAAGAACCAACCTTTTCTTCAGATAAAGCTCGTTTTTTCCTTCAAAACTGCAACAATTTCAAACAATTGAAACAAATCCACGCTAGAATCATCCGTTTTCGTCTCACCCATGACCAATTACTCATCAGAAAGCTTTGTCAAATTTCATCTTCGTATGGTGAAACAAATTACGCTAGTCTGATTTTTGATCAGCTTGATTCTCCTGATACTTTTACCTGGAATGTTATGATTAGAGCTTGTAATACTAGTGGGTCACCCGAAAAAGCGATTTTTTTGTTTAAGGAGATGATGTGTAAGGGTTTTGTAACTGATAAATTTACGTACCCTTTTGTGTTAAATGCTTGTATTGCTTCTGGGGTTGTTGATTTTGGTAGAGTAGTGCACGGGGTTTCGATAAAAATGGGGTTTTGGAGTGATGTTTATGTGCAGAATAATATGATGAATCTTTACTTTAAGTGTGGGAGGTATGTTGTTGATGATGGGTGGAAGGTGTTTGAGAAAATGCGTGTGCGGAATGTGGTTTCTTGGACGACTGTGATTGCTGGGCTTGTTGGTTGTGGGAAATTGGATACTGCGAGGGAGGTTTTTGAGAAGATGGGTTGTAAGAATGTGGTTTCGTGGACTGCGATGATTGATGGGTATGTGAAATATGGTAACCCGATTATGGCGTTTGATTTGTTTGAAAGGATGCTGCTTGATAATGTGAGGCCTAATGAGTTTACTTTGGTGAGCTTGATTAAAGCTTGTACTGATTTGGGGAGTCTCAAATTGGGTCGGCGGATGCATGATTTTGCTATGAAGAATGGTTTTGAGGTTGGACCTTTCTTGGGTACTGCTCTTATTGATATGTATAGCAAATGTGGTAGTTTAGATGATGCTGTTAGAGTGTTTGGTTTGATGCAAGTGAGAAACTTGGCTACTTGGAATACAATGATTACGAGCTTCGGTGTGCATGGATTTAGGGATGAAGTGCTAGATCTTTTTGAAGAAATGGAGAGGGTTAATGTAGTTCCTGATGCTATCACTTTTGTAGGTGTTTTGAGTGCTTGTGTTCAAATGAATGTTCTGGAAGAAGGGTATAAGTATTTCAGTCTCATGACAGAGCATTATGGTATAACACCTATCTTTGAACATTATACATGCATAGTTGAACTCTATGTTCGTGCCAATGAGTTGAATGAGATTTGCACATTAGGGAAGACAATGTCATTGTCAAAGAAAGCAAGTCATAATGTTGCAGAGTTGCTTCAAGAGAGCAAACTCACTAGTATTGATGACATAGAGAAACTCATACACAAGCATTACAGGGATTCGGGTTTATCAGAATTAGTTTTAGATCATTCTGCAACTCCCACCCAGCCATATTTCAACCGTCCATATTTGACTTCACTAGTTTGAAAGCCGTGGGGGATCCAGGGTACAACATTATCAGCGAAACAAGCCAATGAGTTGCGACTTGTTTTCACGTTCTCTATCACTATCATACCACGTGCGGGCTTATGTGAATATATCTTCTCAGATGCTATTGAGAGAAGCTTGCAATGCATACAATATAGCCAACTGGATACCTCAAATCACGTGTATAACATACTAATTGAATCATAATCATCTCCAATGATTTTTAGCATTATAGAACGATACAAGTTTTTCAGAACAGCATAATGACGTCAAGTCGATCTTGAAGTCATGTATTTTTATTGTGAATGTATTTTGAGCTCCAAATTAATAAATTTTACATTTTTTGATCTGGTGTTCGATCGACGATGGAGGGTATCGTCCAAGGCAATGCTTTGGAGAAGTTCTGTTTCTCCTTTGCCGACTGTTGTGCCTTGCTCCGATTCAAACTGTTCAAATTGTAGGATAATAATGTTCTGCTAGCATTCTTGTTTTATTTGCTGCAATTCATTTTCAAACCCTTCCCCTTTATACTGTTGATAAAATTGATTCGATGCAGATGTAATTATCTGTATCATCACCATTGTTCACATAGATTTTATAGACCTTATGAAAATGTTAGATAATATCAATTTTACTATCACATTTGTTAATATTTGTGTAAGTTTCCTCAAACAGTTTTTGTGAGGATTATGTAATTATATGTAGATCCCCCTATTGCTTGTCAAATAATCAAACAATAAAGTTCTATGATGATGTGATGCTATAAGTTAAGCGAATAAACTACTGATTCATTTTTTCCTCATTCTTTTGTGTTCTTATCAACAAGTCATTTCATAATTTATTTGATACATATTCAAAATTATGGAAAAATGTTACAAGGTGTATTGGATCCAATTCTTTGTGTGAGTCTATTAGTGAAGACAAATCTGTATTCTTCTGTTTCTCTGTTCTGCATCATCAATAGTAGTAGCAGTATTGGAAGGACAAGGAATTTCGTGGCTTCAAACCATAGAATCTACAATTACCCGTTCCACTTGAATCAATGAATATTCTTCCATCTGGTGCTGACCACGTTCCATTTGAATTTTGAATGCTGTCATTCCTGGTGATTCTCTCAATAATGAAGCGGACAATTTCGTTCTCAGACTAAGAAATCGCTCCCCAAGCAACTCTTTAGTCCCCAAGAACAGTATTTTCAAATAATTTATATAGAAATATGTGCCATTATTTTTCTTGCTTGTGTTCTTTCAGGTTTCTATGGATTTTGTTTCAGTGGTTATCTATCTTAGAGACACAGTTGCTACTCCCATCAATAATTCAGCTCAAAAAGGAATCTCTATAGGTGGGAATTTCATTTAATTGTTTACAGTTCCTACACTATAATCTCTTCAATTAACTGTTCAATTCTGTATCTTGCATTAAAACTCAAACATGAATGGATGCACGCACGAACACGCTAGAGAGAGATCAGGATAGCCAATATCATGCACCTTTTCATAGTTCATAGTCAGTGACAGTGAATAAATTCGAGTTTGCTAGTAGGAAGACAGGTCAATCACTTTCTTTGAATAAAATGAAAATCTCCTTTTTGACTTAAATGGTATTTCAGTGAACTTTGTAGATCTCTTGTGGCTGTGTTTTGATCCATATAAAACTGTGATAGATGAATCTATTGTAAGACCGACATGTCATTGTATCACCAAGTTAAACATTATCATTTTTTTCTTTCATAAATTAATATATAACATATGGAATCCAAATAACAATGACTACAGTAGTATCTTAGCCATAATCCAAGTTTTACTTGACCTTTGCTTTAGACTTGATAAAAGCTGTGGATTAGAAATGGAACTCAGATCAATGTTTTCGTTCACAACATTCTATGAAATCTTTAACGGTTATGCTTACTCATGCTCATAGCTTCTAATAAGTCATTTAACTACATAGTCTACTGAATATTGAGATGTGGATATTATTCATTCAATATTCAGCGAAAAGAACATTGAAGCTGAATATGGAGGAAGAAGATAAGCATATTTTACGCATCTTTATGTGCTTTACAATTGATCATATTTATAGAGAAGAGAATAGATTTGTTGGTATATTGATAAGTTCTGATATTGCGAGTCGAAGCTTTTATTAATGGGATTATATTCCTCATTTTATTTTTGGCGAATTTATTTCGAAATAGGTTAGGACTTTAAAACTATAGGTTCTACTAATTTTATTCTGAGACTTGGTTTATGTACTCTTTGCTCTTTGTTTTTCATCTTTTTATTAATATAATGTTAACACAATCAATAGATGGTTGATCATGTGTGAGGACAAGGCGGGAATCTAGTTTAAAAATCTTTCATCAACTTATTCTGTTTTGTGCCACTTTACAAAATTACGGGATCTTGGTTGCATTAGGCTTCGGTTACTAACTTGGTTCGTCATGCATTTGATCACATGCCTATATTTCTTCGTTTTCAAGTTCCAAAAGGAAGAAAACGTCTTTTTCCTAAAGCTAGGATTTTGAGCAATGTTGGATGAGGGATGATGGTTTTGAGCAACAGGCTCGACAGGTTTGGTCATCTAACTTCTATCTTAATTCTAAAATTCCTACTTGTATGTGGCTAAATTTGCTAGATGGGACAATGAGCATTTTTGGTTATGTACTGACAAAGAGTCAAGAGGTTCAACAATAGCTTGAGATTGTACATAACTCACCATGTGTAAATGGAAAAAGCTAGTATTGTTGGTTCATGCTTGGTCAAATCAAATGTCCAAATATAAGGCCTGATATTGGCTAGGAAAATTGGTAGCCATGCTAAGTATTGTGTGTTGGCCTTGTATAAGCGGTGCAAACCATGGTGGTTAGGGCTGAAAATAAGTTGAGTTGAGTCGAATTCGTCTCAGTTCGACTCGATTTGTTAAAAATTGGTTCAGTTTAAATATCGGTTCGAATTTGCGACAAATTTTTTTTCCAGCTCAAACTCGACTCGTTAGAAGTTCACGAACAACTCGATTCAACTCATTAGGTTCATCTCGTTAAGTTCAACTCGCTTGCTTCACAGATTTAAAAATTATTTTTTTAAAAGTCTATTATTTTTATATATTTGACATTTTAAATTAATATTTTTTAAAATAAAAAATATAGAAATAAAATAAAAGTTATAATATTAGAATTTATACGATGCTTTTATTTGTATAATTATTTTTAGAAATATTTTTCTCACTTGAAAATATAAAATATCAATAAAAACCATTATATTAAAAGAAAATAATAGGGTTAAGATTAGGAGAAAATATTTAAATTTACTCTTAAAGACAATATAATTCATCTCATATATAATCGAGTTGACTTGTGAACCTAACGAGTCGAACTATGTATAGTTCAAGTTCGGCTCATTTAGTTAACGAACTTAATTTTTAGCTCATATTTAGCTCATTTGGTTCATGAGCCTAGTTCAACGATTTAATTGTTGAACTGAGTTTCAAACTATTTTTGAGTTGGTTCGGTTCATTGCTAGCCCTAATGATGGTAAATCACGGGGAGGCATGATTGTGTTTATTCTTCATTCTAGCAAGTTATTCGCTTGGTTAGTGTTAGTATTTGTTTAATTGATCACTTATTTAAAAGTAATTCTGCTTAGGGGTACTGAATTTATATTATGAGGAACCATGAGAAAAGTAAACTTTTAGCATCAACCAAAAATCAATGCTAATATCCATCAATGCTAACAAAAATTTAGCGTCGACTTAGCGTTAGTGTCAGGCCGAGTTAAAACCACGAAGCTAAATGTAGCATTGACTTGAAACAAATTAAGTATATGCCAGCCTCGGCCACCGAACAATAGACGTGGGATGTTAATTGCAAGGAACATCAAATTTATGTCTGATTCCACCCACCGAACTAGGGGGCATTTTTGTGTGATTAATAAATTATGCAGGTTAGTTGGAGTCTTTGTGCACCCAGATGATGTGATGGTCAGTCCTATGCTACCAATCACAATAGGTTCTATCCGAAAGACCCTCCACACACCTCAGCCAGATAGAGGCTAAGCATAGCAAGTTGAGGACGATGTCTACCTTTCTGAAGTGCAACGACCACTTAAAGAATCCCATTATTAGCATCAGCTAGAAAAAATGCACATGTAGGAATAGTTTGCTTTAGGAATGAACATCTGGGCACATGAAGCTTCACCAAGCTTGTATGTCAACCCTTCTAGGTTTAGGGCCAGATACCAGAGCTTAGGAACACTGTTGAACACATTTTGAATCGCCCTCTCCGACACCGCTTGAACTAGGATGTACCTACTCTTAAAATCACGAACAAATTCGAGGTAGGCCTTGAAAATCTTCCCATTAGCCTGCTTCAAGGAAACTCATTCGAACTGGTCGGCAATTGAGCCCCTCTAAAGATGAAAGCAGTAGAAGAACAAAGGGACAGTGGCCCCGACCTTCAAATAATCACACGCGATCTCGAAAGCCCGCAGAAGGCTATCGAGTTAGGGTGAAGTTGGGAGGGAGCAAGACAAAGATGGTTGAAAACGACCACCTGTAAGTCGGTGAAGGGAGGTTGGAGACCCATGTACCTGAAAAGGATCTCGTACATAGGGAGGTGATTTACATCGTACTTCAAGCAGATATGATGGCACCTCCCGGGGGTGTAGACAACCCACTCCTCCTCGACACCCTCTTACTCCATTCCCGAATCTATAATTGCGAACACCTCCTCCCGATGATCGATAAAGTAGCAGGTGATCTCTCAAGGATCCGACGTGATCCACTTCTTAAGAGCCGCAGAAACCCCAGGCATATTATGCTCAATTGCACTTTGCCCAGGAAGAATCAACTCAGAGTTAAGCTGCCCCGATGTACTCTCCTAGATCGATGTACGCTTGGACAAATCCGGTTCAGAATCGCCTTGCTCGCTCATGACTTCACCTTCAGTGCTGCTAGCCATTTTACCTGAAAAGTGGAAGACAAAAGCGAATTCAACATCAAATTAAATA